CGTCATCCCTTGGATAACAGTGGGTTTTGGGGGTCATCCATAAAAAAAACATCACGTCTGTCACTTATCGTCACAAAAAACCAGATCCCACATTTAAAAAGATGTTGTTTTTTATCTTTTGAAAACACCGATTTCGGATTTTCCCTTCATATACTGACGTCACAGGTGACCTACTCAACTCTAGTTCACCTTCCCAGTGTCCCGCCAAGTCTCAGAAACATGTTTTTATCGTTTAACGATTCAGGCCGAGCATATCTCTGACCACACTATCCCTTCATATGCTTTGGACAAAGAAACAGATGAAATCTACTTCATCTGTTCTGTATCCTGCCAAGTTCAGATAGTCAAATTTATCATTCACGTCTAAAAATAAAAGTTGAATTTTTTTTTTAATTGACGTAATATGTCTAGAACCCGTGCCTTCCGCATGAAAGCCTATTACACTAACAACCCAGCTGTCTATACTCGTGAAGTCATTTATGTTTTTTGTGGTATAACTTAATAATATGAGTCTCCTTATGCGACTTGATTTACGCGCATAGGCCTTCTCTAGATCTAGATTTAAGTCTAGTAACTTTCAAATTAAAGTTTATCTTAAATTAGCCAATTCCATAGCTAATCAAAGATTTATATAAAATAATGAAGGTCTGAAATAGTTTAGTATAGAAGCTCATTATTATCTAGATCTGGATAGAATTATCTAGATTCTACGATTGGTTTGGTTAAGTTTAGTGTTTTCGTAACCTAGAATCTAGATAGATAAATCATTTGTATTATTCTTGAATTAGATGTTCCGTGAAGATAAAAAGGAAAGATTTATATCAAATATGAAAATAAAGTTTAATAAAGAAACTCAATAAATTATTCTGATTTTAAAATAATTAAGTTCAACCTAGATTCTAGATCTATAAATAACTTTCTTGGCCACCTGATATTTATATATATATAAATAACTTTCTTGGACATATTGTAGAGCTAGAGAAGTTTATTGTAAAACTAAATGAAAAAGACAGTTGAAAATGTATATACGTGTTGGAACGTAATAAAAACAGCAAACGGACGTATTGTAAAAGTTATAGCCGACAGAAAATTAGCTTTATAACGCGTTAAAGATCTGAATAAGCAACGAAATCTTGTATTGGAGCCGCCATTTACTGTACTAAAAAAAAAATCATGTGACGTCATTATTCACTCAAAGTAAAGTCATTTTTCTAAGCTTTTAAAATTAATGTGGTTTATCTACCAATGAATAAATCAATAAATTAATTAAAGTCCTTAAATAAATTTGTGATTAACAGGCTACCTGAAAACAAAAATTGTTCTCTACCTACATACTATTTTACAGCTCTACACATAGTGCAGATTATCTCCAGTAGCCACTCAGACAAACAAACAAATAAATATTCAAACATGTAAACAAACTTGAGTTAAGTAGTATATAGAAATATATATATATATTCTAAACCATCTATTTAATAGTGAAGGGATCTAAATCGTCCATACCTCAACATTCTTGATAGAGAGAGTGAAAAGAAAAAACGAGATCTCCCACTTGTCACTTGGTGCAATGCCGGATGGAGGCGGCAATGCAATCAGAAAGTGTGTACCCAAGGTGGTACTCACACCTTAAAAAATACATTCGAGCAATTCATTTTATTTAATTTTTTTTTTATTTTGTAAAGGTTTTTTCAGTGGTTTTTAATGTGATATTTTTTTTTAATTTCAGTCGTCTGCTGTCGGCTATAGGGCATGTAAGTAGGTCAACATCGTCCCGTTCTCGTATTTGCCTGCTAGTATATCTTAAAAAAAATTTTATTCAATCGGTAAAAAAAAATAGAAAAGTTACCCTGCTACAGTTAAGTTACTTAAAATCTTAAATGGGAATCGTGGTAAAAAAAAAATTATTTTGTTCGAAAATGTTAATCTCTCTCTGGCTGACGAGATTTCGAATTTTATGCGAGAGGAACCGAGACTTACAAGCCCCATTGGTGATTGTGTATTCAGGATGTGTTGTGTGTAATATTTACTTCTTGTTTGTTGTTTTTGAAAACTTGGATTTGGTATAATGATGAATAGAAAAACTAGAATTTTTAAAACGTTAACAAAGATGTTTTGGAATTAGCGAAAAATAATTTAATTGTGAAATTACTCGTTTTTCTTTGTTTTTTAAACCCCTTTTTTTTCTTATTTTAATTCTTTAATCAATAAAAATATGTTTCTATTGCTTTTTTTTCGTGTCGTTGAGTCGATAACTTATCTAGGGGGTAAACTTGCGTTAACTGAACAAATTGTCAATATATTTAGTGACACAAACAACACACTTCTATTTTTTTTAAACTTACCCGCAACCTTCTCTATCGGTACCAGAATTATTCCGATGGCCAGACAGATGATGAAGTTAAACATTTGCGACAGCTATATAAATAAACATACACATATATATTAATTTGATAGAGGTCGCGGTGGTACCCGAAACGCAGTTGTCATAATTTCTACAAGC